CCCCAAAACCCCAAAACCCCAAAACCCCAAAACCCCAAAACCCCTCAAAAATGGAGATTGATTGAAAAATAAAAATTAAAGCAATGGATCTGCAAACAAGGCTTTGTAAGTGACCAGATCAAGTTTCAGTCTCTTTCTAGGATGATTCATATAAAGAAAATATATTGTGCCTCCTTTCAGCCCTAGATTAGCCATTTCATGTGAGGGATAATCATTAATGATCTGATTTCTAACTCTAGCATAGTAAAATGACCATCAAGAGATCTTACATTGACTAAAAATCTGAATTATTTCCGTGAAGCGAGCAACAGGAAGAACTCAAACTTCAGGGAATTCTTCCTTGAACAAAGGAAGAGGATTGTTGAGCTCCAAACCAGCAATTTGGTAAGATATCCTTCTATGAAGAAGGAATGACATAAGGTTTAGAGGACCAGGACAAGACCCAAGATCAACATTGGACTATCAGCTAGGAGCAAGACTAGCACTCAGATCTTTCAGAGGGAAGAATTAGGTGTAAGCGACCTCACTTCTTTCAGAGACCGCAAGTTAATTAAGGAGAGAAAACCTCCAGGCATCAATGTGAATGCAACAGCTCATTTCGGCCAAAGTGCTGCAGACGAAGCTGAAGGAGAGGAAGAAGGCTTACTCCAAAGAATATCTGATTTAGAGCAGAAGCTCTCACTTCAGGAACTAGACTATGAAAATAAGCTAAGAACATTGAGAAACAAGAAGGATCAAGAGATTGAGGGTTTACAAGGGAGGATTAAGGAGCTGATTGGAGAATTAAAGAATGAAAAAGATAATAATGCAAAATAATATGTAAGATAGGAGGCATAGAGTTGATTTTAAGAGTATAGAACTGAATTTTACACTAGGAGGTTTTTTGAAAATGAAATTTTGAGTTCTGGAATTTTTGGTTTGGGGTGGAAAGTGTGGTTTGACTTTGGGTGTAGAGAGAAAATGAAAAATATGAGTGAAGAAATGCAAACTTTAAGAAGTTCAATTAATGCCAACAAGGTTGAAGGAAAATTTGATACCTCTAAATTACTCAGAATTCCTGAAGCTCTAACTCCAGTAACACAAACCTCCCCAAAACAAGAAGCCATAGAAGCCAAGATGAGTAAGCTTCGCAAAGTTTTTCGTAAAGATTTATGTGGATATCCTCTCTTCATAAAAGTATGAAAGTCTCATCTCCTTATAGAAGATTTGCTAACTGACTCTACTACGTTACGAGACCAGTTCAAATAAGCTGGTGACATTCCTCAATGTGCAATTGTTCACTGCAACTGGCGATCAGAAATATCGACAGCTTACCTTTACAGATAAGTTTATCCCAAAGAACCTTCAGGAAGAAATAGATGAATTCATGTACAAATCTGAGGCGAATTTCTCAGATTTATGACCTGAGATCAAGAACAACCTTCGAGTGCTACTTCAAAATATGGAAAATTGCCTGCAGATTTTCCTATAAATCCTCTTGAATATTAACTAGAATAATGCGTTTCGTGGGGTTTTGGGGTTTTGGGGTTTTGGGGG